TGTCCCCACCTGTCCTCACCTGTCCCCACCTGTCCTCACCTGTCATCACCTGTCCCCACCTGTCCTCATCTGTCCCCTCCTCCTCACATGTCCCCACCTGTCCTCACCTGTCCCCACCTGTCCTCACCTGTCCCCGGGCAGAGTGCTGCAGCAGCTCCTGGATCTGGACCTTGTCCTGCTGCAGTCTCCTCTTCATCAGTTTGGAACAGTTCACGTTGATGGCTTCCAGGATGTGGGCGGAGTTAAAGTCCACGAAGGACCGGCTGTCAATCAGAACCACCTGGTCCAACCCGCCCTCCAGCAGAGCCACCAGAGACTCCGCCTCCATGGTTCTGACCGAGCCGGGCCGCAGCATCCCAGACCTGATCCAGACCAGATCCTGAGTCCTGGAGGTTCTGACCCCTCAGAGGTACCGCCTCCTCTCTGACCCCCCGCCCCCGCCCTACTTGAAAAAGCTCCTCCTACTCCCCCTTCCTTATTTGGACGACCTGGTCCGGTTCAGTCTGGTCCGGTCCCACAGGATGACGATGAAGCTCAGAGGAAGAGGAGCTCCAAGGTGTGGGCGGGGTCAGAGGACATCTTGATGAAGGTGAAGCTTTAATGATGTCCGAGAGGCATCGGGGGCAGGGCTTAATGATGCCACAGGAAGTGTGATTCCTCCATCTGCTGCTCCTTCCTCCTCCTCATCCTCATCTTCATCATCCTCATCATCACAATGAAGCTGCAAGAAACAGACAAAGGTTCTGATGAACTTCCTGTTGTCTTCATGGACAACCTGAGAGAAGACGAAGACATGAGGACATGGGGACATTATATAAAGACATGATGACATGAAAGAAAGATGTGAGGACATGGAGACATGAGGACATGGAGACATGACAGACATGGAGACATGAGGACATGACAGACATGAGGACATGGAGACATGAGGACATGGAGACATGACAGACATGTCAGACATGAGGACATGGAGACATGAGGACATGGAGACATGACAGACATGTCAGACATGAGGACATGGAGACATGA